CTGCCAAGACGTCCCGAGGCCCAGCCTTCGGCAAAGGGCCGAAGGCTTGGCGGAGGGGTTGCACTTTCGCATGCAAAGCACAGGATAACTTGGTTGCTGTTGACCCCTCTGCAAAAAGTTTAACTTTTTGTGGGTTTAGTGGAAACCCTTTGATTTCAACCAAAAAGTGAAAGTCTAAAGATCCAACCCAATAGCAGTCAAGACAAATACCGCTGCGCAGTTGTGGAAGTATTGTCAGTTGCATGTTCCCCGAGTGCCTTCCACAAGCCTCGCTTGCAACTTGCAAACGGCTGCCTTCTTCAAACCACGCTGAAGGACAAATGCTTCGAATAACTGCCATTTGCCTCGCGACCCTCTGCTGAAGTGACTTTGTCCCTGGGCGCTGCCACTGCCCACCATGTGTGCGTTGGGTGGGTGGGTATGTGGCTGTGTGCGTTTCTGCGCAGGAATGTGGTTGCTGTTCTTGTCTGTGCATGTGCCAACGAGCGCCTGCGCTCGAGCGCATGAGTGCGTGCACAAACTGAAACAGAGCTTTTGACAAAAGTGCATTGTCAACCTGCAATACAACTGCAAACACAAATGGCTGTTGCCCAGTGCCACGCCTTGATATCATTCCCCAAAGCGGCCACACAAAATGAGTACTGATGAATGTGAACTCCATTGCACTGATCTGCATACCTTCCCTTCCCAACAATACATGCTGTGCCCTTTCGCTATGCCACGATAAAGCTCGCCCCTCTTTACCCCGCATCCTTCCTGCAAATGCTTCCACGGCTGATGCACTGTACGCTCCATTGGGGCAAATATATTTCATACCTATAACTATATATTATGTACATATATATATATGTACATATATACTGCAAATGAGATTCAGCCGCGACATCAAGCACGTCATAAGTAATACAGGCCATGAATCGTTGGCTTCGGAATATGCCAAGCATAGAGCAACATCGTTTTGGCGCTGGCCTTTCGCCCCGTCGCTTGTTGCGGTTCGCCCCTGTGCCCCGGGCGTCGCGGCGCACACGCTGCGGTGTCACCTGGGCCCGGCGCAGATTTCAGCAGAACACCTATAGGAAATAGCTGGGAAGTTGACATGATTTTAAGCACTTGCGTGCAAACACTAGCATTGCTAGCAATGAAGAGCTTTTGATTAGGAAGGTCTGCTTTTCAGTTCAAACCATCTGGGGTTAAGGGAACTTCTATAAAACGAATCCAAGGACCTCCCTTTCAAAGGTGGCCATTTTCGCAATTTCCATCACCAATTCAAGCTCCTGTCATTCATGGGTGTCTGGAGTTGCAAGCCACGATTGCTATGTCCCTCTTGGTATCTTGCCAAGCTGCGTTTCCCTCGAGGCTCACAGAGTTCACAAGTACCCTGGCTGAAGGCTTCTGCTGCCTTATGCTGATAGCTTCGCTACTCTTGGACGACCTTTTGTTGGCTTGGAACGATTGCAACGCTGATGGGACTTTGCCGATGTCAGGGTTGGGATGATGGGCGACTTGGTTGACAACACGTTGTGGCCGGCTGCGGCACAATTTCATACATTGGAAAACACCATGGGGTATACACCAAACATTGGCTTAAACAAATTTATTTGCACCGCATCTACAAGATAATGCATCAGTCCGCAATCATGAGGAACAAACAAGCGCAGGGAATCAAGGGGTCTCCTCAGTTCCTCCCTGACAGTGATTTCTAACCGACTCCAAGTAACCTCCTTGCAACTGTCCATTCCATCTGTCGAGAGATCATGCTAAAAAATGGCAGGATAAAACGCAGTCCTTCGACACTTTGGTGGGAAACCACAAAGCGGACTCCGTTAAGGAGCCTTGATCGGCTTGAAAGGCCCCGGCTGCGGCGTAGGCACTGGCACTCAGCGAGATGTCAAGCGCTTCGGCCTTGGCTCCCAGCCGAAACATCTGAGCTGAGTTGAATTGGGTACGCTTTCTCGGTTGCTTTCTGCTCCTAGTGGTTTCATGGAAAACCCATTAGTTGGCAAAAAGTTAAAGTCCTAACCTCCAAGCAAAATGCACCAAAGCATTGGTGGACATCATTTACATGGGAAGTTGTGCTCACCGACCGGTTTGAAGGCTGTTGCCCCTCGCTTTTTGCATGGCCATGCCCATTCTCAAAAATTCCCGTCTTGAGCCTGGGCGTGGCTTTCCGTACAATGGTTCGTCAGACCGTCCCTGAACGCCCCTAGTCAATGGGAGCTTGGACCATGGGACACATGGTCAATGGTCAAGCTTGGCTATCGCCCTTTCAGATGCAGCGGGAGCAACCGGGCAGAACAAATAGTTCACTTGTCAGAAAGCTGTGAAAGTATGCCTACCGTCCAACTGCTTTATGACAGAATTTGCTCCTGGTGAAGTGCAGGCATTGGGGCTTCATTTCAAGGTACAACATGGTCTTTGTGCGCCATCTCCCCCCCAAACAAAACCACTCGAGCTGCCAACACCAGTCCCCCCGCCACCAACTCCCCAATCAACCCCAAAACCAACGACTCTTCGGAGTTGCTGCTCGGAGTAACCCAGTCTTTCGTGGAAAGCCTCAGCGGTGGAGCCAGCCCTGAATATAGCCCTCAGCGATGGGCAACAGCTTGAGTCACGGCTTGCAGCCTTGCAGCTCTACATTCGTATATGCGCAAATGAGAGAAAAGCTACATGTGGCAAATGTCGCATGATCTTCTCCAAGTGTCAAGCTGGAGCCAAAGAACTGCATTCGCATTCGCATGGTGCTGTCTTGCAACAGGCGGAGTTTCGGCCGCTTCTCGAGGTCCAAGGGGCAGTTAGCGAACCCGACGTCAGACCCCGCGGTGCAGGTCGCGTGAAGGGGCAGATGGTGGAGCTTGCGAGGAAAGGGCGGATGGTGGGATGGAAGCGTCAAGCTCTCTGTCCTGGCAAAACCAGCTTCAAGGACGTGCGTGTCACACAATGGTTCTTGCGACGTGATCCGGTTCTTCAGCAACAGCATTTTTGCGCTGCTAGTCTTTGCTGACTCGCATTTTGCGACGGCGTACATCAACATAAGATTTGAAATGTGGCTCCGGTTGGGACTTTAGAAGGTATTTCCCAGAAACTCTTGGTCAACCGCTGGCCAGTCGAATCAAGGGGCCGTGCTTCCGGTGACATTTCGTTCGAGCTGAATTCGCAAGGTTCTGAGCCACACACCTCGTCCATCCATGCCTTCGCCTGCGCACAAACAAAGTTTGCCAAGTGCATCTGCCTGGAAATGCCTGGGATGTCGTAACCGGAAACAGCTGGGAGATGAGAAACTAAATGGCGACGACCTTCCATTAAAAGACCATTCAACAAAAAACACTGATGACTAACTCATGATACAAGAAAAAAAAAAAAAACTAGCATAATTCCTCTTTAATTACGAGATTCATGCTTACAAAATAATCGTAACAACCAACACTCAAAGCGCATCTATCCTAACAAAACCTACAACGACCATTCACAAACCCAAAAACCATACTGAATCACGATAAATATACAAATGACAACTTATCAATTTATTTACTGGAAGGATTTAAGAATGCAGTCGCAACACATGTTCGGCTACCCAAATCAAAACAAACAACACCATATTAACCACGGTAAATCCGCCGCTTTGGAACTAACCTTGACCGACGGAATCTGGTTGAGTTGATCCAGGCTTAGCGCTGTTTGGACGGATGTGAATTCGCTCCGTTTGGAGAGGTGCACAACTTGAAAGGTCCATACGGGTGTCTTTTTGTTGAGGGTGTCCTGTTGGCTGCTGCAAAAGGAAACCAAAGAGAAACACATGTGTTCCCCCAACTTGGACAACCCCATGTCGTTTCATTGGGGGCTGCTTGTTGGGCATCATACAGAAATGGCTGTATTTATGTCCAACAAACAGTTGACAGCCAGTGTCAAAATGACTTCAAGAGGACATGGGACAATTCGCTTTCCCTGGCTTGGGTCACCCGCCCCTATGAATAAGTTGGGGTGGATTCATACGTTTGATGGAAGACACATTGCATGACGATTGAAATATTGCATGACTATGGCAAACATCTAGTCTTATAAAAACTCATGCAATATTTCTTCCATCAACAGTAGGGGGTCGAGGGGAACACCCCCCACCCTGTGAATCAGCTGGGGTTGATTCATGTGTCAACATGATTGGGCTGTCCTCAGATCCCCCGTTAAAAGTTTAACTTTTAGTGGGTGAAATACGGAAATCCCCACTAACTAAAAAGCTCTGAATTCATGGGGGCTTGGGGGGGAGGGATGGGAGGGGGAGGGAGCCCAGATTTCTGCCCCAAAAAAGGCCTTAATAAGGGCTTAAGGTGTTTTTTGGGCTCCCCACCCCCCCAACCCCCAACCCCCCATCCCCAATCCCCCAATCCCCCAATCCCCCAATCCCCCAATCCCCCAATCCCCAACCCCAATCCCCCACCCCCAACCCCCATCCCATATCCCCCACCCCCCACCCCCAACCCCCAACCCCAGCCCCCATCCCCCAAACAGGTGATGTTTAAAATCGCCAAAATGGGAAATATAGGGACCCCTGCATGATGAATGAAACACCTTCGCCACTTCACCGACTCACGGCTCGCCTCCCGCACCAGGCCCCGCTTCGCCAGTCCCACGATCAGCTCGCTGTACAGCTCGCTGTCCGGCGCCTGGGAAAACTTCGGAGGCGCGGGTCCCAAACGGCTGGAACTCGGAGCAATGGGATTCGTTGGCTTTGGAATAGGACGTGGGGTGTGTCAAAGTTGATGTTGTGTTGTTAATAACAATAACAATAATAAGAAATATAATCTATGCATGTCGTGTTATTTTTGTTTGTTTTCCCTTGTTATATATTTCCAAACAAAAAAAACGTTCTTGATTTGATTCATTCATCCAATTGGTTTCGGATTGGTTGATTTGGATTGGTGACTTGAGCCCACGGTGCTTGAGGGATGGACAACCCCTCCAAACCACCAAAAGAAAAACAAGGTTTTTCGAGAGGAAAATGAACCGCGCGCGGTCAAAGGACTAGTTTCCGTTTGGTTGCCTTTGATGAGTTTGAATGAATGGTTTACCAAACAAGCAAACATCCATATTTTGTTCATTGGTTTAAATATTATTATCATTAATAATAATAATAAATTTGAACATCATATAATCAAAAATGCTGTTAACCTAGGATTGGTAAATGGATGTCAATCTGGAGTAAACACAAATGCGTGGCCCGAAATCATTCATGTAATTGGAATAATGACAGGCACTGACTGCGTCTTTCTGGGACACAACAACCAAGAACACACAAAACACATGCTGAGGGAGAGGAGAGCTGGTCCTTGCATCTTTACCTTGTTCCTCTGCTCAAATCTAGAATGTCCAGCTGGCTCTTGTTTTAACACTGGCCTTAATCAGACCCACAGGGGGGGGGGGGTAGTAGTGCAGGCCCCCAACTTTGAGCCCAAGACTGTATTTCAAGGGCCCCTGCAACAAAGTCTTGTTGGCAAGTCCCCTCAAAATATACAACTTCCGCGAGTACCTCTTAGCTATCTAAACCTCCCAAAATCCCAGCATTCTCGAATTGATAATTTCTTACATGTCTCTTGTTTGAACACTACCCTCAACCAAAGTAATTCAAGCTCCCCAAACTGACTTTATTGCAGGGGCAAGTCTTGTGGCGTGAGCCTCAAAATCTCAAAAGGAAGCTCCAGCGATACTGAATCAAGTAGAAACTCTAACGCTTTTCAAACAACCGTTGTCCACCTTCTAAGGCTGTTGCCATAGTTGTGCCCATGTGTCACTAAGAAAATCCGCGTTTCTCCGCCATGCAAGAAGGTGAATCAATACCACATGAATATATGTCTCGCTTACTCAAGCTTTGACACAGGTGCATGTTGAGGGCAGGTATTCGCTATGAGGTGCAGTGCATGCACGACATACACATAGACATGTAATTGTCTATACTTACATGTGCTTGTGTGTCGGTGTGTCTGTGTTTCTGTGTTTCTGTGTGTCTGTGTGTCTGTGTGTTTGTGTGTTTGTGATTGTGTGTTTGTGTTTGTGTGTTTGTGATTGTGTGTTTGATTGTGTGTTGTTGATTGTGTGTTTGTGTTTGTGTGTTTTGTGAGATTTGTTTGTTTGTGTGTTTGTGTTTGTGTTTGTTTTTGTGCTTGTGATTGTTTGTGCGTGTGTTTGTCGCGCCGCGAAGCAAACGTATTGACCGGTGCTTTGTAGCGCATAGCGCCAGCCGCCTGGCGAAGACGCATGGAGGCATCGAGGCACCAGGAGGCCTGGAACGCGAATGACTGGAGTCAGCAGATTGCTCCGAAAGCCATTTGGCCACAAACTGACCTCAGCAAAAACATGTTTTGATCATGTGTTTTTTTTACATTTGGGAGATCATTTGGCCATCAAAACCCAAATCGTACCCCCAGTAACATCCTGAACATCCGATTCAATCCCCGCTAAAATAAGTTCTAAAGTGGGTGGTGAATTCACCTACCAACCAAAATGGGATCCCATTGGTTTTGACAACCACAGCCATTTGGAGGCCTTGGAAAGACATAGGCCGAAACCCACAGGATGCAGCCGAAAGAGGCCTGCAACATGTCGGGAATGGCGTGAACTTGGTTCCAAAGGTTTAGGAGCCTACAAGAGCAAACCTTGAAAACCATTGCTGTATAAAAGCGTCCGAGTGAATCTGTCCAATTGGATCGAAAGAGGTGAAGGGTCATTGAATCTTTGATTACTGTAGCTGGCAAAACCATACTTAAAGGCAATTGCTCTGAGCCATACAGCCAAAACCAAAGCGGACATTCCTGAACTGGCATCTGTCAAGCCAGACAGAATGCTCGGGCAGCATCATTTTCACAACGCACCAACACCTGCCTCAGGTCAGCAATCCACAATGAATAAGTTACATGTCTTAAGCTCGTGATTTGCAATAAGCCTGACCAATCCGAGTTGCCTGGTGTAAGTACCTAGGTCCTCCAGTAGAGAGGTTAGAATAAGGGTATCCTGTTTTTCTGTAGTCTATTTTGGCAGGGGAACCCTCCCCCAAAAAAGGGTAAAAGGGCACTACTGGGGGACTTGGGTACAATTCTGTGAAGTCTTCATTGAGATGCGACAACTCCCGAATCAAAGCCATCAAACCTCCCAGGCATTCTGAGTTTTAAAGCGAGTGGCGTCATGTGGTCTCAGTGCTCTGGGCAAATGGTGGCTCTCAATTCGGAGAGAGCCACACTACAAGCTGCGGGTCAACAACCCATGACAGACTCAAAGAAGAAGCCGCGTGGAGATGGGAGGTTTTCAGGAGTCTGGAATCTCCCTATGGGCTATGCATTCTCAAAATAGGAGTCAATGGAATGGAACCCTGGGAAATGGTTAGGTAGACCAAAAACTGCGTAACCCCAGTAACCCCAGCTATTTAATTTTGACCCCACAGCCTTTTGGTTCATGGGTCAAAATCACGTACCCCCTACCCCCAGTGAACATCCGATTCAATCCCCACTAAAATAGGTTCTAAAGTGGGTGGTGAATTCACCTACCAACCAAAATGGGATCCCAAAACGGCTTTGACAACCACAGCCATTTGTTTCATGGACGCTCTTGGCTTCGCTTCCCGTGGCAACGTTCCGTGCCGCCGCCTTGCGCAGGTTGCACTGCGCCAGCTCCCAACGGGCCAGGCGCAGCAGGTTGGGAGGCGCCACCTGGCGAACAACTCCAGGAGAACTCAAGGTATTTTCTTGGATTTTTGAGGCTTTCCAGGGTTTTTCGTCGGACCGGGCAAAGATGTTCCACTTGTTGACCAAAATAATGCTCTCAAAAAAAGAAAAGAGAGAGGGAACACCCTGGTTCTCTATAGACTATAGTGGCTTGCCGAGCTGGGATTTCGCCTCTCCGAACTGGTTGGACCCATATATCCCATGAGAACTTCTGGCCTTGCCACTGCGGAACCTCAAAGACCCTCAACCACTTCGCCGGGACGTGCGTGTCTTCCAGTCCGGACAGCTGCCATATCTCTTGGCTGACTTTACACAAGTAAGAGCAACAGCCAACATCCAAACATGCAGCCTCGACCCTTACAGGACGCAGCTCTTCGAAAAGAAAAAAAACAAAAAACAAGCGGAAACATGGTGGGACGAAGAATCTGTCCATGCAAGGCCAGCATGGAGTCCTTGAACCAAAAACAACATAGCCACGGTGGCTGAAGGCGTGGGATGAATATGTCGCCCAAGGCCAAACCTTTGGATCCAAAGAAGCAAGTGGACCAGTCTCAACACTCGTGGCGTGCTCCAGTGCCCATGCGGCTCGGCTTCGATCATCAACTCACGCGTCAAATTGCACCGATCTGCGGGAAAAGTGGCGATCACTGGGATTTGAACCCGGTCCAAGCCAAATGAAACCAGGCGATCAGTGGGATGTGGGATTTGAACCCCGTCCAAGCCAAATGAAACCATCTGAAGGGCTGAAGAAACTGAAAAATCACCCTCGCTCCGACACGCTCAAAACTAGCCTCAACTGACAGAACCTGGACCTTTCGGTTTGCAGCCTTGAATCCAAAAGCCAGCAAACCAAAAGGAGGATGGCAATCCAAAAGCCAGCCTTCTTTTGGTTTGCATCCTGACAGATGGGAGGATTGCAAACAGCTGCGAGGCCCTGAGTCCCTGAGACTCACGCCTGCCTGACATCCGCTGGAGCCTGGGGCCGAAAGAACAGGACAACATGCTTGCGGCATCAAGCGACCAGGAGTTTTGTGTAACATGTGGCACCCGCAGATTCGCAATGGTCAACTGGTAAAAATAATTAAACAAATGATAATAATAATATAGTCCATTGCAAGCTATTGGCACGCAACCCTGGCTTCTGGCCCTCGAATCGAACTCAAAGCTGTTGCTGTCAGCCCACTGTTGCCACGGAATTGCGAGGAAGGAATTGAGATCTGAGAAAACATTGAACATAGTTTTCATCCTATCCATACTACCTTGCTGCCTTGTACTGATCCAAACTGGAACCCACTCATTCATCATAGGTTTTGCCCGCATTCCACTTCAAGAGTGATGGTGGGATATTTGCGCAACTTCAACTGCCTGCAACCTGCCTTGCCCCATCTTACCCAACCGTCCTCTGGCTTTTGCAATCAGCTGCCAAAAGGAAACAATCACCAGCCCAGGCTGGCCCTACAGTCGCTGGCTCAACGTCTTTGTTGAGGCTAGGATCAAAATGGCCAGCCCCTCTCCAAAGCTTCGGAGGACTCCGGTGACGTGCTCTTGGCCTTGAAAACGATCAAACAAAATGCGGTCTTCAAATCTCCTTGTCGGTCACGATCTCTGCATCCGCAGCGGTGCAGGACATCTCAATGGTGGGTCCGGTGATGGTCAGCGTGTCATCCCTGGCAAACCATTTGCTGACCGTGGGCATGGCTTCCGAGATCTTGCGCTCTGCCTCCATCACATCCTCCGGTCCCATCATCATGGTGGACATTCCTGGGGAGCAGTCACACGCCAGAGAGACCCTTTGGAGACCCTGGCGCGGCAATGGTCTCATGCAAGTGCCGTAAGTTGTTCCTTTGATAAGCTCCCGGACAGTTGAAAGACCCAATTTGTGCTGGCTTTACAAATTCTCTCTCTCGGTCTACATGCAAAACAAAAACACTCATGTCACCCGGACGAAATGCCTACTGCTGGTTAATTGTTTGAGACGTTCAGAAGTTAAAGCGACATGGAATCACCAGAAAGCCAGGTACTGATACCAAGGACTTGCCTCCTAATTTTCACCAAAACACTTGTGCATGGGATAAATCAGCTCAGCTGACACAAGTTGTGAGGCATGCCCGTCCTGGGCCAAGGGTGAGGGCATCGAAGGGCGCCAAGGATGCATCCGGGGTGGAGGTCGCTGTGAAGTTCAAGTTGTTGGCGACTTTCACGGCCAGGCGCAGTTGACCTTCGTGCTCCAGAACGGTGATGCTAGGAGCCTTAGCGCAAGAAGCGGGCTCCGAAACAGAAACTGGAAGATGGGT